TTGACATCTTTTAAAGCTTCCTATCAGTACCAGTACCTATCAATTATTATCACTTCCGATTACTGACCATCAGTGTTCCCATCCTGCCGCCTAAACCTCCTACCAAATTTGAATGCTCTAGGTTTTCGGAACAAGGGCCATAAATTTGCGGTCGGACACATACACACTCAGACACACAAACATACATACACACACAAACACACAGGAATTGGCCCGTTATGTATATAGTAGGATTTTGCTTCTGTGCAATGTGTTTTTCGCGTTCAAAATAAACAAATGAAGAGCGTTTCTGTGGTAATATCCCTCTCAGCTCGAAACCTCAACGGCTGTTGAGTTGAACTAGTCTGCACAACGACTGGCTTGTTAAGCCCTTGAGGGCTCAGCAATATGACTCAATACACCGTCATGAGACCGTATTCTTTTGAGTATTGAAGAGCTTTAGAATCAGCCACTCCTACTTCTGAGAAAACGCCTTACTTGATGATGAAAACCATCTCTCCAGCTGTGCAGTTTAGGTAGCACTTCACATTCATTGGAATGTGACTCACGGGCCGTATTCATTCTTGTCGGGATTGAATATACTCATTTAAATGAGTAAGAAAGAGTGAGAATAAATAGACACTAACTTCTTGCAATGCTTTTAGTACGAAGCAAGTGTTGTTTTAGGAAATCGCTATCTTGACCATCCCATTCAACCTTTTGCACAACATCTACCACATACGTCGAATCGTCTCCGAATGTTGTCTGTAAAAAGGTGAAGAAAATCGTCGCCAGCCTTTCGAATGTTTCGAATACCTATGCCCGAGGCAACCTACGTCCACATCTTCAATAATGGTGTCGCAGTACTGCACTTCGTTTGGGGTATAGAAGATAGCGACACGATTCCATTCAAACATTTGGAACATTAGCACCAGGGCTTGCATCATTCTGAGATAGATGCGCAAAGAAATATAAACACAGGTTTTCAAAAACCCAAAAGTTAAGTCTAAAGATTTATCCTTAATTTCGCTTGGTTATGCTGTTTTGTGGTGGTGTGGAGGCAGTCATACGTGGTCACTATCGCATGGTCCAGGGTTCGAATCGTGGATCGATCAACCAAGCCTACCTTCTTCCGGTATTATTCAATCGGTACCATATTTGGCTGTGAGAGTAAATGACTGGTAAATCGCCGGGGAAACGCCAATCATAGTGTAGGACACTTACTCATCAACACTTCTCTACGATTCTGAAGGGAAGTTAAATGCGAGGGCCCATTCGAAATACGGGATTGGCGAGTATTTAACCAGGATTAGATCCCGGGATCACGCATGTGATAGCGCACCAATTGGCACCCTGCGTCACCTACAGTGTGGCTACCCATTCCCAAGCATGGTTTCAGTCGTTAAAAGTAATTTACCAAATCACAACTATTAATTTAGTGTATTAGTAACTTACTGGAGTGAATCTGGTATGACCTTTGTTAGATATTTAAAGCGGTCGTTATCGCTGAATATGGGGTCCATCAGAAAACCCCATCCAAGCATAATTTTCTTGTAGTATGTTGACAAATAAGCCATTATCTCGGCAGCTGAAAAGCAAAACTATGAAGGTTGGTGTTTGTTACCTGAAAAGCCAGCTTTAAATGTTCGTTATAGGACGAATTCATAGTTTTATTCCTTCATAGTCAGAGCAACATAACAAGCAAGATTTCGCTGCCCCATCCCTAACTTTACCGAGACATAAGCCTTTACCTTCGAGGAACACAAATAAATGAGAAAAGTAGCACATCTAAACTTCCAAAATAATATCTGAACGTCATCTATGAACGTGAGGACGGGGAGGAGAGGAGGAGCGGTGAGGGGGGAGAGGGAGCGAGGAGGAGATATTGTGGTGCAGCGTTCTCTGTAGGTGCGACTATTTTCGCTGAAGCTTAGAACCATGCAACTTCAATGATTTAACGTGGTTTCTGTGGCATCGACTCAGTAAGGCCTTCAAGTCTCGGATAACTGTAAAGTCTGATTTTCAATGACAAGGTGTATGGGGAGGGTAAAAGTTTGCAATAGTTATCGACCGTTGTCGCAGTCATATACGTACATACACCGACCAGATGCCTATGATTCGTTATGCTAAGTTTTCACTTTCCTCAGATAGTTTGCTGGATATTTATATTATTTATTTATATAGTGTTAAATAAAGCAATAGTCGCTGGTATTTTGGCTAGGAGCATCGTAGCGGGCATCGTCCCTAAATTGACGAAAAAGGTATACAGCGAAAAAGGTATAGAGAAAAAGAAGACTGTGCACGATGGAGTATTCCTACCGCATGCCTTCCGCCACTCTGCCCAGACTCCTGCCTTTGGTTAATCCCCTTTGCGCTGTTGCCTCTTTACTATGTAGCTTTCGATAAAATGAAGATTTGTATGAGAAAGAAGCTGAACCAACAGGACGGGCAAGGAGGCCCAATGACTACGTCGACATTCTGCTTCACCATATACTCCAAAGCTACTCCAACAGCTGTCTCGGAACTGCATTCGGTGTAGTTCACCATGAACCTGAACACATGATCTAAATGATTGAATTCCACAGAAGACAGAGGTTCATGAAGAGTAGCCCAGAGAATTTTGACTTTCGGTCGAATTACCGATTGAAAGACATGTATTGAAATACTACGACTTCAAGTCAAGGTCACTCGTCAGCGATTTTCGGTGGCACTTTGAGAACTCTGAAAATTCGACTAAAGGTTCAGACGTTAACCCAGCAACTCCGAATTGAGGAATCATTTCCTTGCTATCAACGGACTTTTCGGACATGAGCCATCGAGCTTATTGCCCAAAAAAGTGGTCCTGAAAACAGTCACGTTAATTAATGACGTCTTACAAGCGCTATCTCGAGATTGGTTGGGCGAGAAAGAGATATTTGGACCTAGCATTCATAAATTTTTACCCGTAAACTACATAGATCCTTTATAATCAATAATTAAACCTTTATAATCAGTGGATATGGTATGTATCATAGATATTCATTGTATCTTTGGATCAGGGTTTAATTGGCAAGCGTCGTGAGGAAATAAGTCTGCCATGACTGATTCTATCTTGAGAAGGTACAGCTTGACAACAGCTAACCAATTGAGCCCGCTTGCCACTTCGGTCGTCCTAATGTCTTTTTCGAAGAATAGCACCTAAGAATTCACTGGCGAAGTGGCGAAGAAGTAATCCTGTTTGGTAAGGCACGTTGCTACGAAGTCCAATGGCTTTTTGCATTTTGGTACTTCGATTTTTATGACAGCGTTCCCAGTTTTCGGATAGGTGTTCTCTTTTCTCATTGTTTCTTTTTTTATTCGATTCCTATGGTTAGGTACAGTCTTTCTGCGGTGTATCATTTCGTAAGTGTCTCCTTGTGATGACTGAACATGTCGCTCGTTCAATCAAAGTTCTGCTCCAATATTGAAAACAGTAACCAACAGTAAAAACTTTTTCGATGTTTCCCCGCAAACAGAATTGGCATGAGAGTACAGAAGAAACTGTCCTGAGACTATTTTGCATTGCTGCCTGTTTGATATTGACAGTTCTCATTCACGTAGTGTTAAATGAAGCAATAATCGCTGGTATTTTGGCTAGGCCGCTTAGTAACGGGCACATGGACGATCAAGAAGAGAATATTGACCACGGTTGAATACTCTAACCTCATGCTTTCTGCTACTCGGTTCAGACTCTTGCTCAGGGTTAGTCCGTTCCTGCTGCCGCTCCGTTACTAGCTTCCTATGAAATGAAGTTTCGTCCTAGAAATAAGGTGAACTAGCAAGAAGGGCAGAGGGCCCAATGACGAGGTCGACTTTCTACTTCACCATGCTTCACCTTGTAGTGTTGTGAAGTGAACTTAAAACGCATTCTATCAGATGTTGACCATATAAGACCATCAAGGTTTTTTTCAGTCGATCGTGAGTGCGTCTAATCCCATTTCCTTTTTTTTCAAACTCTCCATTTTAATAGTTTTTGAGGTGTAAAAACATCAGTAGTTCTAGGTAAGTGGACTGTGATCAATGAACTAGTGTTTCAAAATTCATGTTGTTAAATATAATAGCTCCGTAAAAAGCTCAGAGGAGTTTTGAATCACTGCACGACCCTTCGAAAACACTCTTCAGAGGAAAGGATCATGTAGTCATGAGACAGTTACAGAATGATGTTCGCTTCAACTGTTGCACATGGTCTCTGAGTTATCCAACTAGGACGAATCTTTGACTTTCAATTATGCCTTTCACGCCATTATGCTGGAAGTTTCCGGGTCGAATAACCTTTCAAATAGGGCGTAATAAGGGTTGATTTCCGGATTCAACGAACACCGCG